AGTCTCACAGGACAGAAGAGCCTGAGTGGATAAAGTTTATTTTCGTGCGTGTACATTATACTACGGACTGCTTTCGATAATGTTACCAGCTGTCCGTGACCCAACTTCATACTTAGGAAATGTACATTTTGCCACGTTTTATGTTTATGATTCATGTTTCTAGTGTTAATTTTGTTTGCTGAGCCTGCTGAAGTTTGACCTCTGGCTCTGCAATAATTGTGCCTGGAGAACTCAATACTATCATAGATCTTACGGACAAAGTCACTTTTGGTCATGGCATGCCACCGAAAAAGATGAAGGAATATGGTCTTGGTAATACTTGGCGCATGAATCACCCAAATACGAGAGAATATTCCTTCCTATCTCAAATACACCAATCCCATTCACAAATGGACTTTTTTCAAACAAGCAATACACTTTTTTCAAATTCACCCCATCCATTAGGGTTGGGCGCTGGCGCAGCACAGATGCATGCGCAAATATATCGGTAATCCGTGATTGTTGGACTGATGTTGGCTAACTCAATTCTTTATATAAATGCTCAGATAAAACAAATTTGAACACAGCAATAAAACAGGGAAATACAAAATAATGTTATCAAGGACTCAGCAGGGAAGCTTCTTCGTAGCCCTAAGGATATAAAATTATTTTTGTTTGTTTTGGAGTTTTCACATGAGAATATACTCCTCAGGACATGACCCAGATCACAAAACATCTGAACTGTTCTGTGTGTATCCTCAATAACAGAAACAGGCAAATGCCTGAGCTCTGGTTATCATACCTTATCACTATTCAACACAGATGTTAAATTTATCAGCAAGGCTGCAGGCCACCAGAGTAAATGGTAAATGGACCTGTATTGTATACGCGGCTTTCTTAGTCTTCCTATCACACGATGGCAAGGTCCATTGACCAGCAAATAAACCATTCTCAACACGATGCACAGCACGGGCGCAGCAATTTGCTGGCTTCCAGTATCTTGCGTAAAGGATCCTTCGTACAGTGGCAAGAGGAGCGGGGATCGAACAAAACCTTCCAGATTAGTGGACAACCACTCTGGCTCATGAGACCGACAGGCCCCAAAAGAGTTGAAACAGTTATGCCATTCTTCATACATACGAGACCAGTTTCATTAAAGGCAGACATTAATTTATCACTTGTAACACTAGCAAACTATTAAACGTAATGCAGCTTTCTGACAATAAAAAATGTGATACTCTGATAGTCACTTGAACCTGAAAAGCTGCATCAATTTCCAAAGGGCTATTGCGCCGGAGCTTTGCATTACAAAGGGGGAACATATAAGGATGTCTTTTCTCACCCTCAATTTTTGCCGTATACATCAAACCACTAGCTGCAACAATTCACCAAAATGCCATCATTAAAAAAAGTATCCAAACAGATAACACTCAATACAATAATCAGTCTTTATGTGGACGATGTATTGTTATTTTTACAGGATCCACAATCATCACTGCCAGTATCTTATAAAAACCTTACTACTCTGTCAACTAATCCAAAATCACTGTCCTACCCATTTGCATGGATAGGAAGAATGTGGAAGCTAGGTTGACCAGATATCCCAGTTTATGTGGAGCTGCAGTGCATTTTTATCCTTTGTCCCACATCCCACATATTGAG